AAATGTACCAATAAATGCCTTACTATTAAGAAAAGTTTAAAAATTAGAATGACCATGTTAAAAACAAAGGAAAAAAAGAACTTGTCTTATAAAAACCCAATAAATAAATGCAAAAAAATTACATCTCCTTGACTTTACCTCCTGAATTCCAACCTTTTATTTCCAATTTTCAACTTAAGATCTCCATTTATACAGTAACAGGCATGTATATGGTCACAAAGGAATTGTGGGCCCCTGCATCTGCTTCATCCCCATTTCAACATATGGCACCTCCATTCTTGCAGCTGCTTAGACCAAAAAATGTGGTGTCATCCTTGACTTTTCTTTCTGGCACCATATCCTACCCATCAGAAATCTGGTCAAATCTGTCTTTAAACTAGATCCAGAGCCAACAACTTCTCACCCTCCCCACTGCTAGATTCTGATCCAAGACTCCACCATCTCTGCTAACAATTCTCCCTGCTGCCTCTTCTGCCAATCCAGTCTAATCTCAACTGAGAATCCAGAGCAATCTTTCTTAAACATAAGGCAGAAAGCATCACTGATCTTCTCAGACATTCCAACAGTTTCTCAGCTGGCACTAGATAGAATCTAAATATTCAGGCCACCCTTAGCATGGCCTAGAATTCTCCAGGTTGCTCACAGTGAGCTCTGTCCTCAGAGGCCACTGTTCTCCCTGCTCATTGCACTCCAGCGTCTTCTCTGCCACTTCTGAATCTTTGCCTCTGCAGGAAAGAGTCTTCCTCTGGGTCCCTGCAAGGCTCCTGAAGTTCATTCAGGGAGACTTTTCTTGACCACCCTATTAAAAATAGCAACAAGGGCACACAAGTGCACACATATACACACTCGCAAACTGCCATCACTCTCTAGTCTGTCATCCTACTTGGAATCTTTTCACCACTTATCCCTCTTGATATGTTATGAATTTATTTATTGATTGTTATTATTTTCCTTCTCTCCAAGTCCATTCAAATACAAGCTCCTTTTTTTTTTCTTTTACTTTTTCTTTTCTTTTCTTTTCTTTTTTTTGTAGTGTTAAGGATCAAACTCAAGGCCCCCACATGCTAGTCAAATGCTCTACCACTGAGTTATACTCCCAGTGCAAACCTCTTTTTGTTGTTGTTGTTGTTTGAGACAGGGTCTTGCTATATAGTTCAGGCTAGCTTTGAACTCACTATGTAGCCCAGGCTGGCCTCGAACTTATGGCAATTCTGCCTCAGCCTCCCAAGTGCTAGGGTTATGGGCATGTGCCACCACACCCAGCAAACCTGTTTTTGTGGGGTTTTTTGTTTTGTTTTGTTTTTGAGATAGGGTCACATGGTTTCCCAGACTAGTCTGTTCCCAATTTGCAATCCTGTTTCAGCCTCCTGAGTAGCTGAGATTACAAGTGTGTGCACCACCATATCTATCTAGAATACAAAGCAGATTTTGTGCCCTCAGCATCCAGAATAGAGACTACCACATAATAAGCTTCAATCAAATAATTGATTTCAACAAATGAGTGAATGAGTGTGTTAATGAAATGAGTGGAGGTCAGAGAGTTGGTGTGACTTTCCCAAAGCCACACAGCTATAAGTGGAAGAGCTGGCTTTCTAACCCAGAGCTGTCTCACTCTGCCTCTCAGGAGGCATGGCACATGGGAAAATCCTGATAAATCAAGCCCTAACCCATTAAACACAAATGCTTGGCAATATCAAATAACACACTCAAAGCCCAAAATAGTTACCATAACTTCCTTAGAGGCTTCTGCACCAGTGACTCGCAATTTAATGGACTGGGAGCCCACAGGCTCCTAACTACTCCTTTCTCCATCCCTTTGCCAACAGAACACGTGTCTTCACATAGGGCTTCTCTGCGATCCCTGAAATTAAAGCATGCACAGTGCCCACCCTTTGGAAGCTCAGCAATCTAGAACAAACACTGAGACACACAGGGCTGGCCTCATAAGCTGGAAACCACATGGTTTGATTTTAGGGACTGGGAAAGCTTAGTCCAAAAATATCTACCCCTCCCAAATGCCACAGTGCCTGGAATTCCATCATTAGAGAGATATTTCTGAGAGTTTAAGCACTATCTCTGATTCTGAGTCACTTTGTTTTAGGTATATTTTTTGAGACACTGCATGGTTATTTTTTAAACTGATTCTGAGTTTCTTTCTTTTAGTACATGAGTTATGTCATTTACATTTACATTTATTACTACAGTTCTATCATCCTAAATTTCTTTTTTACTGTTAATGCTTCACTTATGTTTGCTTTGTTTTCTTTTACTGTATAACCTCATTTTAATTCTACTCATTACTTTTTCAATATTAAATAAGGTGTTTAACTTTCTATTTCTCAAATTAATTTCAGAAATCAAATAGTATCTATTCTCTCCAAGCAAAGAAAGATGAGAAAATCAATCATCTTATGATTCTTCCCATTTTCTTTGCACCTATTCCTGCCCTCTCTACCAACATACATCTTTTGTTATTATGTTATTGGATTTTTCTTCTTTATGGTTCTATTATTACCATTACGGTTATTCTTTTTAAATTTGGTTAGGTTTTTTTTCTTTCATATATTTCTTTTAAATGAAATAAAACTAAGCTGGGCATGATGACACATGCCTGTAATCCCAGCACTTGGGAGGCTGAGGCCAGTCTGACTACACAGTGAGTTCAAGGCCAGCCTGAACTACATAGCAAGACCTTGTCTCTAAAAAGCAAAAATAAAAAAAAATAAATCTTTGGAAGAGGCCACAGGTATTGGACAGCGACATCTTTTGATGAATTAAATGGTCAAATTACTTTTATTTCTTGCAGTGAGTTCCCTCAGATGAAGAACAATGATGAGGAAAGGGGCAAGGAAAATACAAAAAGGGAAATTGGATGAAAGAACGAGAAATACACTGAAGCCAGTTACTTACTTTTCTGTTTCCCCTTTGGTTGAACATAAAAACAAAGGGGAAACATAATGCAAACTAAATAAACACTCCTAGGCGGCACCAAGATTTCTGATATCCCTTTGGTGTAGAAGAAGACAGAAGTAATACACAGCTGTGCCCCCATCAAAGGTTGTTGCGCGGTGGGGGCTGGTGCGGGAGGTGTGCAGAGGAAGGGAGGCACTGGATTTTCCAGGGAGTCCTTCTGCACACCGGCTCCTTAACATCAGACTTGGAGAGAAAGGACTCTTCCAGCCACAACCCAGCCCACATCACCTTCTGTGCACAGGTCCCTGGCCAGGTGGGCCTCACATCATAGGATGGGGCCTGTACTCAAAAACAATGTCCCGCTCCTTCCAGGCTGAATTCCGTCTGAAACTACACTGGCTTTCTTTTTCTCAGCCCCTTGTGAGAACACAGGAAGCCCTGCTTCCCCAATCCTGAAATATCTGCCTCAGGAAGGAAGGGATATTGTCTTTCCAGGGCCCCTTGCTTGTGAACCAATTCCACAGCCTGCCTTGGAAATGCATCACCAAAGCAAATCAATTCAGATGTTCCTTGCAAATGGCATGTTTTAAAGATAATGTTCATATCCATTTACACAGCCAGGAAAAATGGTTAGGTCATGAAATCAACACAAATTTTGTACAAACAAGTCAAAATACTGCAACACAGATATATTGTGTTATTGCTTTGTTTAATTTGATTTTTTTTTTTTTTTTTGTACTGGGGAGCGAACTCAGGATCTTGTTCTTTCGAGGCAGGTGGCAGCTAAGTCCCCAGCCCCTTAATTTGATTTTTTGATTGGGGATGATGGACAGTATTTTTTCAAGAGAGAAAATATTCATTCATTTCAATATTTTTGCCTTAATTGGTGAATAATTTGTTAACTCACCTTTCACTAGGTCCAAATGAAACTCATGCTTTCTGGAAAGCATACAAACCTTCAGTTAGTTCAACTGTATTTTATGATCAATTTTTATATATAAGTAGGCTCCGTCAAAGGATCTTAAGAGGTAAATATAATTGAGTTAAAGTGCTCTCCTATATTAAAATGTTTTAATTAAAAACATTTGCCAGGCTAGGCATAGTGGCACATGCCTATAATCCCATCATTCTGGGAGGCTGTGGCAGGAGGACTGTAATGTAACTTTAAGTCCAGCCTGGGCAATTTAGTGAGTTAGTAGGACCCTGTCTCAAAAAGGGAGGGAGGAGGATGTGGCTCAGTGGAAAGGCCCTACTTTCAATCCCAGTCCCCTTTCCTCCCCCAAAAAAACCAACTTGCCAAAGACCAGGGTTGTAGGGATGTCCTGTGGCCTTGTGTTGAGGTGCTAGCATTGTATGTTTCTATCATCCAAAATGGCTTTTGTGGCTGACAACGCTTTCTGGATCATTACCCATGATTTCTAAGATGAACTCTGGCACTAAATATGCTCACACAAACTTCAGGTGGCCTACATTTTGAAGTACACAACAACTTCACCTTTCTGAAGAAGGCTGTCCAGTAAAGTCCAGAAATGAATTTTTAGAGGAAACTGTGCCTTCAAGTCACTAAATTCCAAGGCCATTTTTCTTTCTATTCCTAAGAACCCATCATCACAGACTTGAAATGTTATTTGCACACCAAACACAGTAATGCAAATAAAAAATAGAAATTAAAAAAAAAAAGTTCAAATACTCTGCCTCCTTTCTCAATCCTTATTCCCATGGGCAGTTTCCACGTTTTCAAGCACCTTCCATGCTTGTCCCTGTTCCCTGAGTTCTGCTACTCCGAAGCCACCTGGCCCTGTTCCCTCTCATTGCCCACCCAAGTGGCCCAGCCTCAAGTGTCCTCCAGCTCCCACTGTGCCTCTCTGAGCAGCTCCCAGGGATGTCCCTATTGAGGAGCAGAACAAAAAGCCTTTTACAGACTCTCCCTGGCAAAGCCAGAGTGAGGCAGGCTTTGAGGAGCTTGCCAAGGAGGGCGAAGGCCTTGCTTTGAAAACACTTCTCCAGTTTGCTGACTCGTGGGACTTGGCAAGCCCAGGGAATAGTGCTGAAGGGAAGAAAGCCCCTGGAGGGGCCTCCCGGGCGGCTGCAGGCAACCCTGCTCTTTTCATTGGCCCCATGTGACGCCCACAAGGGAGCAGGCCTCGAAGGCCTTGTAAATGAGTGTTTGCAGGGCCCCTCCCTGACTACAGCCCATATGTCAGGACACACACCTCCGGACTGCTAAATGGCTGAGAAAAGGACAACCGTTTTCCGTGTTGGTACGACATGCAGCATTGGCCAGTCAAGGATTGAGATCAGTCAGAGGTAAGCAAGTATGAAAAGGGAGCAGGAAAAATCTGTCAACCACAAGAGACTTTTCTCCTCTGCCCTGAGCAGCATTCAGGCCCATGATTCAGCACAAATGATCATCCTTAAGGCACCCCTGGCTTGGTTCAGTTGTGAATTAAATGCATGACTTCTTTGTTGTAACTCAGTTTTCTACTCTGTAAAATAGGCACAAGAGATGTGGGCTCATGGGAGTCACTTACTAGAGCCCTGTTGTTTTATTAGTGGGCAAATTGCAAATCCAAGTCCTAAATGCTTAATCAACTGACCTCCATTAACGGTAACACAAGAGCAAGAATTCAAGGGCAGCCACCTCACCCATTTGTTTATTTTTCCTCCCTTGGGCTAAAATGGCTCCAAGGCCCCAGACTCACAGCAGGCCTGCCTCTTCCTGTGGCAGCCAGAGAGACTGCAGAGGACAGTGTTATTCAAGGTCATTTAAAGGAGGCAAGGACCTACCTTCCACAAAGGGTCCTTGTGCAAATGCAAAGGCCAGGGATTAAGGATAGGACTCAGCCCAGGGCAACTCCTTGCTGAAATGTTAGGACAGAAAAGAAAGACTGGAGGCTGGGGGTGCAGCTCAGTGTTAGACTGATTGCCCAGCATGTGAGTCTGGGTTCAATCCCCAGCACTGCAAAAAAAACACAAAAACCCAAAAAACAAAAACTTGGTCACTTCTAGAAGGCAGAGTGACAGACCAAAAGCTTTCTGTGAGTTAGAAAAAGGCACATGCTCTGAGTGGAGGAAGTAGAAACACCTCTCAGACAGACAAGTTAGGGAAGGCGTGCCTTTCTGAGCCACCCGTCGGGACAAGAGCCCCTCGGCGGGTGAGAGTGGGCTGGAGGTCAGCCCCATTTCCCACCGCTCCCTGGGCACCCTTGCCCACCTGCGGGGGCTCTGCCTGGAACTGCCCGCCTGTTTGACAGGGAACTGTCACAGTCAGGCTGGAAGCTTCACACCTGTGTAGGAAGGAACACCACAGCATCTTCTTAAGAAGTAAACAATGTGACCCGATTTAATTCTAATTTTTTTCTTTATGCCTTTGAAGTGACAGTTTCTGGGGAAACCCTCAATACCTTTAAGGGGAGATCAAGGACTCTATTGAGTTGCAGAGAAGTTACTGAAGCCATTCATCCATTTGGCCAACAGCCATCAACGCAGGCCAAGGGTGTACATGGTAAGGCACAAGCAACATACAGACTTGGCGGGAGACAGCACAGCCCTTGCCTCTGGAAGTTCACAACCGAGCACAGTGCAAGACCAACAGGTGCTGACAGGCACAGAGGGTGGCCACTTCATTTATTTTAGAACCCAAGAGAGCTTCAAAGAGGAGTTAACTTCTGGGGTTGCTCTTAAAAGAGGGATAGGATTGCCAAGGCTAGGGAAGCCAGCCAGAGAGTAAAGCAGACAAAAACCTATGGAGTTCAGAGAACCTATGCCAGGGCCAGATCATAGGGTGGAAGGAGTAGGAAGCCCTAGAGGGCATCTGGCCCCATGAAAGGCCGTGGCAATGAAGAGGAGTCAGGACACTGCTGGGGGGTGGTGAGAGGGTTTTTGTTCCATCTAACCTCAGAATAACTTCGACGGTGTTGGGAGGCCAGACTGTGGGGACTTGGGTTTCCAGACTAGATATGGGGATGGGGGGGCGGGGTGTGGCCAACACAGTGAACACAGGAGCGACAGTGGGTTTGGAAGGACATTGTTCAATTTGGTAACAGAAAAGTCAAATTTGAGCTGATAACAACTCAGTGCTGTAAAAATCTCTAGCTATTTAAATAATAAATTAGCTACTTTTAAAACTAAAAGGCACAGCAATTGCTAATAAACTGGGGAGATTCTAAGAGCCTCTGCCTTTTTGGTGGCTCTGGTACTAACTGGATCCATCCTCAGACTCTGAGGCGCATTAGGATCAGGATGGGAGGGAGGACACACAGACAGTGTAGGTGCCCGAGCCTCACCCCCAGGGCAGTGGGGTCTGTTCCTCCCACGGCGACACCAATTCCAGGTTACCCAGTCAGTAAATCAAACATCAAGGAGATACCTTTAAACTTTCAACTTCTTTCTCATTAATTAACTAGAAATATCTTCACCTGTTTACTTTTTAGCTAAAAAATCTCTTTAACTGATTAAATGAAGTGAATTCCCACTAGCCAGCAGAAAGATGAGTGACCACTGGCCCCAGGAGAAGCTAAGATAGCAGAGGCTGTTAAGTGAAGGTGAGAGTCCACAGAGAAACAAAGAGACAGAAACTGGGAGAGAAGGGCTAACAGGAAGCAGGTCCGGGCACTGCTGGCAAAGCAGCTCAGCAGTCATGGATAAAATGCTGTGAAGAGTGGGCACGAGGGAGCTCTAGACTGTGTCCTTCATCCTCTGAGACCCCACAGCCTGGGGGGTCAGATGCTCAGCCTGCATCAGTCTCAGCAGCTCCACTCAGAGAAGGCCCCATGAAGTCTGTAGGTGTCCCTCCCTAGGTTGTTCTGCTTCGACTTTGCACCTCACAGCTTACATGTCCTGCAGAATCATTTCAAAGTTGACCAAGACTTGCTAAATTATCCCATAAGGACAAAAAAAGGTATGGCTGGAAAACAATAGCAAGCAAAGGTGCAGTGCAGCTGAAAATGTACCCATCATCACAATGTAATATCCCAACCAAACAAGCTTGGTGTTAAGACCGGCTCCACCCCAAAAAGAGAATCTACTTTCTTTTTATCGGAAACCCAAACCACACTTGAACCTAACTGGCCTGATTATGATAACCTCCTAACATGTACAGGTAAAGTGACCCACCATGCCAGGCTCTCCAGGATTCTCCTGGTTTTGGCATTTGAAAATCCCATGTCGTTGGAAACCCCTTGATTCCAGATAGTCAGGACAGTTGGTCATCAAGGGTACAGGTTATGGGGCCATGAGAATATGAGTTTGGGAGCAAGATGGATCCTAGGACTCCTAGACTCCCTCTTAGTAGATGTGGGCCATTTAATACCTCTGGCTTCATTTAGATTCCTCCCTCGACAAATAGGGTTTTCAACACCTGATTTGTAAAACTGTTTACAAGGAAGAAACTGTAAAGTAATAGAAAGCAAGCAGGCGGGCCAGGGCCAGCTCCAGCCCCCTAGGGGAACCCTGGGCTGGGCTGCTTGTGTGACAGGGACCAGCACAGCACAGCCAGGATGGGAAATGACCACCATCCAACACCTCTGCCTCTCTCTCCTGGCACAAATCTGCCTGACTGTGCAAGCTGTGGTTGCCACTAAAGGTTCCCCATCCCTCAGGGGTTGAGCACTTGCTGTGTGCCTCAAGAGGAGGATTTCTGTGGCTGCTTGAGAACCACCACACAGAGACATGTGGGGCCAGATAAGAAACCCCCATCCCCAGGCACAAAGGTCCTGCCGCTCCTGCTGTGTGTCCAGGCAAGAGGAGGGGACCAGCCCTGAGGCCAAGCCACCAGTGTTCTTAAGTGTTCTGTGTTGCTGAATTTCTGTCCCCATGGGACACTCCACTGCACAGTTCAGCGAGAGAATGGCAAGAATCTTCTCATGCCTCTGTCCTCTGAGCTTGGCAGAGCCCTGAGTCTTCTCATTAGCCAATGAGGTCTGGAGTGTGCTAGTCACAGTGAGGTAGTGAGTGCCCCGGAGAGGAGCTCAAAGCAAAAAATGCTGGCCCTCTTTCGGTCACAATGGCAAGGAGAAGAATAAAACTCTTTTCTTTTCAGATTTTGAGGGTCCTTGCACTCCTCTGTGGGCTTTTTCAATAGCTGTTTGTCATTTACAGGTAAACAACCGAGAGATAGGAAAAAGGGATACTGGTAGAGATGCAAGTGGTTTCTCTCTGACTGGGCCCCTAACAAGTGGCAACCCCAAGATCCTGCCGTCCATCCAGCAGTTTGGGGAGGCAGGCAGCAAACAAACTCATAAAGAGTAGAATGTGAGATGATGGTAAGTGCCCTAAAACAACATTAAAAAGGTAATGTAATAAGCAATAGGGACAGGAAGGAGTCTTCTGGATTGCAGGTGAGGGAAGGCCTTTGTGAAGGAGAATGTTTGAGCTGGGACCAGGTCGATGCGATGCAAAGGAGTCAGCCATGCCAAGATGCGGGGAGGAGTGTTCTAAAAACAGCACAATGGGACAAGGACTCTAAAGTGGGAGCAAGCATGGGTGGGGTATAGAATTGCAAGAAAGTCAGTGTGGCTTGAACGCCAGGGAAAGACAGTGGCAACCTGGCAGAGATAGAGAGGCGACATGGGCCAATACAGGGTGTATTTTTTAATGTTCACCCACAGGACTTGTTGATGGATTAACTGGGGTTGGGAATAAGCACCTAGATTTCAGATGAATAGAAAAAGATGGAAGAAGCCTGCTTTGGTTATGTCCAGCTCGAGGTGGCTGCTGACTGTCCTAGGGGAACAGTCAAGTGGGTGGCCGGGGAGACAGATGAGAGGGGCGCTAGAGCTAGAAACAGGGGAGAGAAAAACTTACATGGAGGGTTGAGAAATGAGACTCTTTGCTGCCTTGCCCAGCTTCCAAATGCTCCTGGCTACCCACACCCTCTGAAGCCTGAGCCCTTTGGTGTTTTAAACTGCCAGGCTGTGCACCAGCTCTGCAGGCTTCTCATGCTGGTTCATGGAAAGATCTGGCCCACTTCCTGCCCAACTTTCATGTATTCTCTCAGCCAGCATGCATCCAGGGCTTGTTCTGTGCAGGTGCTAGGCCAGATCCTTGCCCTGCAGAACCAAAGGCTGCACTGGGGGAGGTGGCTCGTGTGAAAGGAGATGGGAGGACAGGGAGAGGGTGTGGCCGCAGGAAGTGGCAGGAGAGGGGGCAGGCTGTCAAGAGGCCAACTTGCCCGACCCTTCCCACCTGAGGACTTGGGCTAGGTCTGACTGCAGGCTGTTAAGAGGCCTGCAGCTGCTCGAAGAGATGACCTCTTAGAGCTTCCTCCTGTTCCAAAGTGCTGCAGTTATCTGGAGATTAATTCCAAGCAGACAAATCATTTAAGGAAAAAGCAAATTTTAGAATTCCTTTACATCAATTATGCTTTTCTATTTTAAACCTAAACTTCGTGATAATTGCCTACAGCCTGGGCAGTTCCTCCCCAGACAAAACAGTTTTTCAGTTAAATTCTGTGCTTTGCACTTCACAGCAAGGACACCCACAGAACAGACTCCAGCCCACCCCTCCTCCTCCTTGGGCTCCACCTCAGAGTACTCAGACCAGAAGGTGCAGCAAAAGCTCTTTTGTATCAAGTACAGCTATTATAGGGTGTGGCCCCCAGTAGACACTACCTTCTCTATTATTTTGACAGTGTGACTTCCTGTGATATTACTAAGTATCTCCTGTAATCTTGGTAACAAAGGCTCATACTTGGGGTTTTTTTTTCTCCTCTCAACAATATACTTGACATTTACTACATCATCAAACGGTTTCTGAGGTTTTAGGGCTAAAGCTCTGAACGTATTACTTCCTGTCCCAGCAGCAGTTCAGGTGCCCTGAGCAGCCCTGAGGCCTCAGAAGTAGGGCTGTGGCTCTGCTGTTGACTTTACCAGACCATCCAGCGATTTCAAAGGCAGCCTGTCCTCAGAGCAGATCCTCCCAAGGGCTGAGAAATGGGCTCTGGACCTGAAACCACTAGCCGTCCCATCCTAAGATCTGTTCCTTCCAGCCCCTGAGCAATTCACTTAACCTCTGTGCTACACAGATTAATAGTATGGGGCAAGATGAGCTCTAGGGAATGGACAAGCATCCAATTCCCTAGAGTTGAAATACAGGCTAGAACTGCTCTCAGGACCAATGAGGTGACCTCCATGAAAACTGCAGTAGAACCACACATTTTTCCTAGAGGTAATTAAACCTCTCCCCAGTGACCTGGTACCATGGGGATTTGATGGACCTGCACTATGAAATATGGATTTGTGGCCACTAGGGCAGAAAAGTACTCATGATTTCTCCAACTCTTTATCCCTCCTGCACCATTTACAGCATACCCACTTTTGAGCAGGCCCAAATCGAGACTCAGGGACGAAAGGATGAGTACAGCAAAGTCTGTCTCCTCCAAGGACAGAATGTCTAGGAAGTGGGACTGCACAGAAACCCACAGCTTACCACGGGCAGGGCTGGAGAAGGCCTGAGTGGCACAGGAAAGGAGCCCTTAATTATTCCCAAGTGATTGGAGGGGGGAAGGGAAGGCAACTTCCCAGAACAGCTAATACTTAAGCTGACTGAAAACTTTAGTAGTGGTTGAGCAATTGGACATTTCAGGCTGAGGCAGCAGCAGATGCCAAGGCCCAGGCCCAGAGTGAAGTGCTTGGTGAATAACACTGATCCATCAGGATGACCATGGTGTACATGGGGCAGTGCTGGAAACCAGGCCAAGGCTTCAGTATGTGCTGAGGATTATGGCTCTACCTCATTCCAGGGCTTAATCGGTGGAACACAGTATAGATTGTATTGTCTAAAGGTCAGGGGCACTGATTTGGGAGGTGAGCTAGACCTGAAATTGAATCCCTGATTGGTGCAATCCAGGGAGAAATACTAAATCTTCTAAACCTCATTTTCTCCTCTATAAAATGGGCATACTGATACCTGCCTCACAGATAATTTTTTGTAAGATAATAAATGTACTGCGCATAATACCTGGCAGTTTTAGTAGCTGGTTAAAAGAGAGGTAAGGTCTCAATTTGTGCTTCTAGAATTATTGCTCTAGCACCATTTGGAAGGTGGGTTGGAAGGACACAAGACAGGTGGCAGGAATGAATCTAGCTGTATGAAAGCACACAAGCACATGTACCACTTGATAGTGGGGTAAACAACATACTGAAGAAACGGTGTGATTTAATTAAAAGGGAAAGAGGAGGAGTCAGAAAAGGCTTCATAGCAGAGGTGACACAGGAAATAGGTCTTGTCAAGAGGAGAAACAAGAGAACAACACAGATGAGACATGAAAGCATAAAAGTTCAAGGCATAGAGAAGCAATGAGAATAATCCAGGGCCATGGAGGAGGAACAGGGATAAATGCTTTCCTGGGTCCACATCCAGGAGGCACATATTATATGGCAATGCATGTGCCTGGGCCAGGGCAATTATGATGAGTCGGGGCCAGACCTTGGGTTAGACCTTGAATGTGGAATTTATTTGCTAAGAAATTTAGAATTTATTGAGTACCTATCAAGGAACCTATTCCTTTGTTAAAATTGTCTGGGGAATTCTGATCACTGACCCATAAAAAAGTTTTCAAGAAAGTAGGGAAATTGCAGTGCAAGTATGGCCTCTTGGTCCTGGGCAATGAACCTAATCTCTTCATGCTGCACGATAACCCAGGCAGGCACATTAAAGTTAATAATAATGCCACGAAGAAATAAAACACCAAGCCATTAAAGAACTTACCCAAAGTCACCCAATGAGTAAACGGACAGGTGGGCTGGGAACTCTGAAGTTCAGAATAGAACCCCCTGTAGGTAAAAGACTAGAAAGTTTTCTTTTTTTGTACCAGGGATTGAACTGGGGACCTTGCATTTGCAAGGCAGGCAGCAGAACCACTGAGCTAAATCCCCGGCCCTAGAAAGTTTTCTTTCTAGAAAGTTCTGGCACTCATGTAGCCACGGTTGTACCAACAGGAAGTCAAATTGCCATACAAGGGCTCTTGGGACAGATGGGTCAAAGGAAAGGGGTTTCTCAGTACACCAAGAAGGCACAAAAGCACTTGAGGTTTGTTTCACCTCCCTTCCTGGAGGGCAGTCCAGCTTGTGTGAGAATTTTTTTTTTTTTTTTTTGTACCAGGGATCAAACTCAGGTCCTTGGGCTTTTGAGGCAGGTGGTGGAACCACTGAGCTAAATCCCCAGCCTGAGAATTTTTTTTTTTTTTCAGAAAGGGCAACACATTACCCACACACATAGGTGGTTTGGGGAAGAGCTGCAAGCATTGAGGTGAGAGAAGCTGAGTCCATCATGACTTCCAGGGATTTCCAAAGTGAAATCAGTCTACTCTCTCCCCACTTCAATCAACTCTGAGAGGCACAGTTTGAGGCCCTTTAGGGGTCATTGCTGAGGGTGGGAAGATTGAGCTTCCTTCCTCCATGAAACTGCACCTTCCTCCTCCACCTTCTGCTCTTGGCCCCGTGACTGTTCTCACTAAAGATATTAGTCTTCCCTGGTCATGCTAGCTCAGAAGTTCTGAAGTTATGTGCAGAAACAAGGGGCCAGGCTACCAGTATCTCAAGGTTATCTGAAAATCCAAGGTTCTCCAGTAAGTTTGTCAGGGAGAAGGATATCTGCTCAAATCCAGGGAAGATTTCAGTTGGGAAGTGGGTGCTCTGAAGAAAAGACCAAATTCCAACTCAACCCGAATGTGGGAAAGGAAGGGTAAAAAGGATTAAACAATGATTTGGTGAAAACAATTATGAGGTCTATGTCAGACACTTCAAGTCCATTCAGTTACATACCACTTCCATTTCACAGATAAGAATCATAGACAAAGAGGGAAATAGCAGAATGTGAACGAGGAGCTATCTGACTTCAAAGCCCATGTCTCCCCTCCCTGCCACTCTGCCATATAGAAGATCTTTTTCCAACATTCAATCTCTTTAATCACAAGAACTGAAGGCAGCTACTTCGGCATCTCTGCTTTCTGATCCATGCAGATAAGAAGCTAGAAAGTATGTACTGGGGATAGGAAAGCTCAGAAACAGACACCACTCCATGCCTTCTCTCCCTCCCCTTCTCAGTCACCCTCATGGCGCATCTGACCATGAGCAGTCTTCATCCCAAACCTTGCCCCTTTGAGAGCAGTAAAGGACCAAGAAAGGTAATCTTCCTTGCGTTGGTATAGAAAGTATATTTTCCCCTTGTTTCCAAACACAGGAGCCTCCAGCAAACCATATTTCTTTTGATGATGGAAGACAGAAGTGTTCCCTCCCTATGAAGCTCCTAGGATATTGGTTGAGGCAGCAAAACATGGCAAAGCCAGACAAACCAAGTTGAAAATATCTAGGAGATAACTTCCCCCAGGTCCCCTGGGGAGTCATTAAATTCTGTGTCTTCATTTCCTCCAAGGTAGAAAAAGGGGTAATAATTCTGACCTACCTCACCAGAGCATTGAAAATAGGAATAACTAATTAACGCTAGTGCAGCACTTTTGAAAGTAAAAAGCACTTTGCAATAATTAACATGGTTTCTGCTTTCATCTCCTGCAGCCTCATAAACAGAGAACTGGTTCCCGGATAGCCATGATGGCAAAAGCAAGCCAGGCAGCTGGCTTTCCTGAGGAGGCACATGGTGGCTCTGTCGGGGCCATCAAAGTTGTCTCAGGGCTTCCGTCCACTGGAGACTGCTGCAAGCTGACAATTTCAAATCCATTTGCATCCACTTAGCTTTCCAGAGACCAAGGCATTTTTCAGCTACAGCAAACAACACATGAATGTGAAGCTCGGAGCAGGCAGCACAGGGCAAAAAAGGATTGGGAAGTCTCTGGGGCTGCTGCTAACTTGTCTTGAAAAATCAAAATGAACTTTTTTCTTCAAAGATTCTGCTTCAATTCATCATCATTATAAAAACACTCAAGTCCTTGAGGTCTGAGGCTGCAGTGAATGCATACAAAATGGGTTTTCTGCAGGGGAAAAAACATATAATAATGTCCTAAAGCTCTTCTTTTGAGCTATGGGCAGCAGGGAAGTCTGGTTTGAAATCCAACCTTCACCTCCACTGAGCAAATTTTGTTAATTAGGATGTGTTTGCCCTCCTTAAGGCACCTTCTTTCTCAGGAGATTTGTATCTGGGGAGGGCCTTTCCGAAAGGTAGAACATCTTTAATTATTCAAACTGCTGGACCCTGGAGCATGATATCCCCTTTGCCAGCTGTCATTGGCACCCCAAAAGTAACACAGACTTCATTAGTGTATCATGGAAACTCTATTATAGATGGGGGCTGGGGGTTGTTAACCTGGTTTATTAGTGTAACACTTCAGGTCCATATGGTAAAAGGGCTTCTGTGGGCTGGGCTGAGACTCACCAGGCATGATAGTGTTTCTTAGGAAAGTAAGTTCTGATTTCCAAGTGGCTGCCTTTGAATCTGGAATGCAAGCCATTTCTAAGAAGGAAAATGCCCTGAAATATTAGATGCATGTTTTTTCCCATTATTTCAGAGGTGAGGAATGCAGTTATCTTGAACTTCCTTTAGATAGATGGTTTCCTTTTCTCCTTCTCCCCCTTCTTCCTCTTTCCCCACCTCCATGCCATTTTATGAGCTGATAAACCATTAGTAGTTAACATGGACTTCTCAGAAGGCAGTCAAGGATAAACTTTGCCAGAAAGGGCTGATTCAGGTGGGGTTACATGACAGGCTCTGTAGTCCCGAGGGACACTTTTCCAGACTTGAGCATAATATGAATTCAGGGAGGCAAGAAAGAAGAGTCACAAGATGAGCCCTCAGGACATCCTTGCATAAACCCCCAAAGTCAGGGGCTTAAGAAAGAGATGTGAGGAAGAAGATAAGATCCAGAAGCAAAGAAATTTGTTAGAGACAGACTGGCAAAGACAGAAGACCATAGCAAGGACAATTCTGAGTCCAGCAGTGGACCAGGTACAATGACAGCCAGCTCTCCCTACCCATGGGTTCCATATCAGTGGCTCCCACCATCCATGGACAGAGAATACTCAGCAAAAATATTACATCTCTACTGAATGTGTACAGACTTCTATTCTTTATCATTATTTGCTAAATAATATAATAGAAAAACTCTCTACATAGCACTTACATTGTATTAGGGTAGAAGTAATCTAGAGATAATTTAAAGCATACAAGAGAATGTACATAGACTATATGAAAATACTATTCCATTTTATATTGGGACTTCAGCATTTGCAGATTTTGGTATCTTCAGGGATCGTAGAGCCTGTTCCCCATAGATACCAAGGGGTGACTATACTTGATGAGTTTTGGATAGGCCCAAGTGAAAAGCAAACATAGATTATGAACAACTCCTTTCACAGTGAAAATCAAAAGGCTACTCTCCTTCCTCCAGAGGACAATGAATTCCCCCCCCTTAGAGCCAAGTGGTGCAAGCTTGGTAGCCCCTTCCTAGGTCTACTGGAGAGAAGGTAGCAGTCAGGCCAAGATCCAGTATGCCCTGGAACTCCCTGCTAGAGGTGCTCATGACACCTTCCCTCCATGAAATGTGGTCAATGTCAGAATAGACAAGTAGGGAGAGAAACACCTCACTTCCATCCTGGTATGCAGAGGCCATACTGAAAACCACTAGCAATCTCAGCAACACAGCACTGGCCCAACCGATGGATATGATCACAGGCATAGCCAGCCTCACACAAGGCCCACAGGCTAAAGACCACCTCTGCATAGCTGTGTCAGTCAGTAAAGCATCTTTCAAGATTAAACAAGAAAATACATTAGTGAAGGATGTATGATGCCTTCGTATAAGACTTTACATTCAATCATTATTATAATCTTGTGTAGGACACACTTTCTAAGCATGAGACCTGTGCAGTGATATGGGACACCACAAACCTAAAGGGACCCCACTTGTGGCTAATGCTCTGCTATCACTTTCCCGATATTCTTTATTTCAGAACAAAGAGCCTGCATTTTCTTTTCTTTTCTTTTTTGGGGCAGAGGGAGTACTGGAGATCGAACTCAGGACCTTGCACTTGGGAGTCAGGTGCAGTGCCACTGAGCTAAATCCCTAGCCCTGCATTTTCATTTTGTATTGGAGTCTACAAAATATGTTGTTGGTCCTTGTCCAATGGGGGAAAAAACACAGGTGTTACCAACTGCCCCATTTACAGATCCAGAAAAAGAGGATTAAGCAGGTTAAACGGCTTCCCTAGGCTCACCTCACTAGTAAGCAGCTAACTCCAGCTCCAGACCTCACACTTCCTGTGTTAGATAGCTTTGTGCCACTGGGACAAAATGCCCGAACAAAAAACAACTTAACAGAGGAAAAATCTATGTTGACTCATGGTTTCAGAGGTCTCAGTTCATGGTCACTTGGCTGCCCCCAACAGGAGCTGTCCAAACTGGGCCAGACTGGACCAAGCTGGGCCAGTCAGATTTTCTTTCCCGGGAATCTGGAATTGGCATCCAGCCAACAAGGGGCAAAAGAAACAGCTGGAGCAGTTGTTGAAACAGAGGAAGGGTAGATTCGGGCATAGGACAGTCATGTAATAACATTTGCATCTCCTATCCTTTCTCCCCACACTCCAAATTTATGACTCCCAGAAACATAGCTAGAGGAAAAGGTCAGGGTCTACCATATTGCCAGGAGATAATAATCCAGACATTTTAGGGGAAACTTCCTTATGTGATCTCACTTGTGGCTGAAAACCTACCAGACCTGCTGGTCATGGGAGTTACATGAGGATGGACAGCTGTGATTGCTAACATTTCTTATTCATGCTGCTACTATTGTTTAATCTGTATAAATATATGTAGCACTTCCTATATTCCAGATACTAATCTAAGTGCTTTACATATATCAATTCATTTAATTTTCCTAAAAGCCTATAAAATAGGTATTACTATCATCATTCCTGGTCTATAAGTAAAGAAGCTAAGGCACAAAGAAGTTATGTACCCCACCCAAAATCACACAGCTCATATGTGGTAGAGCCAGGCTTTGAACTCAACAGCCTGACTGCAAGCAAAGTCTGAATTCTTAACATTCACCAACTACCTCTCGAAATATTATCCTGGCTGGTCTGAAATAAATAACATGCAATTTCCACTTCTCAGTTTAATTTTACCTAATCACAATGCAATGTTTTAAAAATGTTGCTTATTTAGAATCAAAAAAGCCTCTGAGCAGTCAAAATAAAATGACAATGCAAAAGCATGAGCACTCAGTCCCTAAGATTTTCACTCAACCCTCATTTACTCACATTCTCTCTCCCTCTCCTCTTCTTCTTTTTACATGTAAAAAAGAATCTAGGGTAGAGTTTCACCTAGGATATGGACCATTATCTGTATCCAAATGATCCAAAATGTATCACTTCCTCTCAGGTACAGCTTTCAATCTGTCCACTTGGGGTTCTGCATATCCGCAATTTTGATCCCAAGGAAGGATCACACTACAGGGTCTTACCCTTTCCTACCAGCTGGTGTGTGCTCAGAACATGCACAACTGGAGCCAATATACACAGGACTGTAGAAATGGGCCCAAAGAACCACCCCATGGGACTCTCAAAGTCAAATATAGAAAGTCATTGGGGTCCTCTCTTCAGTTTGCCTTCTGCTAAGGGAAAGGAGTCAAACGCATTCGGAACTCTCCGTCCCTTGTCTTGTAACCATCCTCTTTCTCACTGAGCCCCTTTAGACTTTAGATTCTCTATTGAATGCTTCACTCTTTCTTAATTTTTGCTTTTTAATCTAGCTAACTCTGGTGTAATATCATCTTTGTTTTTAAATACCTTGTTCTTAAAAGGCCTACAATACGGTATGTATACATATAAACTTCCCTTAGTGAATGTATCCATTATCTATAGCAAACATGTACTAATAAAATAGTAAAATAAGTATATAAATACTTCCTTCTTAGTAAAGTGTAAATTCTACCATATGTAATATAGTTCATTCAGTAAATATTTTGATCTATGTATTCTGTATTTTATTATTATGTACAGTAAATATATTTAATAAAATTCTTTAATTCATAAAATAGATTCCTTACCCAAACTGCTAATAGAGTTGTGATTTGGGTTCTCCAGAAAATGGTCATGGTGTTGGTTCTCCCCTGTCAGCATCTCACTCTTAGCAGATGCTTTAAAATATTCTTATTTGAATTGACTTGCTAGGCTAGGTAGCTTTCAAGAACTGGGTGTGTGTAGTTTCAGTCCATCTGTCTACTCAGCAAGGTCTTGGCAGCACTAACTCTTCCTTTACACCTAACACATATTTATTATTCTTTACACTTCTTTCCTTAAATTCTGAAATCTTTTTTTTTTTTTTGGTACTGGGGATTGAACCCGGGTCCTTGAGCTTGCTAGGCAGGTGGTGAAACCACTGAGCTAAATCCCCAGCCCCTTCTGAAATCTTAATTACTGGCAATACCACCCTGAATGACTCCTGCCATCAGCACTGGAACTGACCATTCCTTCAACACTTACAGAGGATTTTGCTGTGCACCAAGACTAGGAACTAAAGCAATGACAGCTATTTCGTTTGTCCCCAACAGCCATGTGGTAAGTGTGACTCCAAGGTAAGTAGGACAATTATTCCTTTTTAACAGATGAGGGACAGAGAGGTGATGTGACTTTCTCAAAAACCCAGATTTTATATTAAAAAAAAAAAAAAAGAAGCACAGATTCAAACTCAGATCTGTCTAACATCAAAATCTATTCTCTGGGGACTTGACCAGCCTTTCCCAGCTGAAAAGTTCCAGATAAGTTCCAGACAGTCATTGATAAGACAAATGCTTATCACCCACCTTTGTAGAAATGAAGACTCTCGTACAACTGGCTCTCCCAGAGCACTCACTTGAGTTTTCTTCTTTAATGCAGTAGAGAGGTTTCTCAGGAAAGAGATATCAGATGGAAATTTGGGTCCAGGAAACTTTCCACAGAGTGCTATGCGGGCTCAGACCTGGAAGTAGAGGAAATAGGATGAGGCAGGGAGAGGTTGGACCTCAGGGCAGTCAGAACCTTGACCTCAGCTCACTCATGGTACCAATTAAGTATCCAAAATTTAGTGAAAGAGATTGAGCCTTTATACCCCACAGTGATGACCCCCTGGATATGCACTGCCCCAGGAAACAGACATGACCTTGGCCCAGGAAAATCCCAGAGAGGGACTCACCTGACTGCTGTCATTGCCCTCACTTCTGGCTGCTGAGGGAACAACTGTTCCATGGACAAATGCACCTCAGAGAGGACCTCCAAATAGTGCCACTAAAGAAGGTCAATTTTGTATATTTTTCTTACATTCTTCTTTTAAAGATCCCAGAATTCCATTTTATTATTTTTCATTCCTTTCTGTTTCCAAATAAAGATAACAAACTTTCTCTCTGTTACTTGAGAAAGACTCTGGGCAATAGTCTCCCTGACTCTACTGAGCAGGGGCTCTGAATAGGTGTGCCCGGGGGTGAGTCCCTGGCTCCAGCTCATGCCCTCACCCTGCTCCCCAGCCCCAGCCTCTGTTCATGACAGGGTTCCTGGTGCTCCTCACCTGGACCATGGCCACGGCCTTCCATCTGCCCCATCTGTCCTCAGATCCACTTGGCTCACCTCTTGCTGCCCTCTTGACCTTTCTGGAGTCCAATCTGCTATGTCCCTGCCTTGCCTGATGCACCCAGGAATTATGCTCTTTACCCTCACATTCAGGACCCTTGTGATCTGGCCCCTGCTCACCTCTTCATCTTCCTTTCTTGCCCCTACACACACACACTCACACCCACACACACCCACACACACACACCACAATATTCCTACCTCCATGCCCTTCTGTACACTCTTCCTTCTGCCTGCAATGGCTCATGTTTATTATGCCAAGTTAACCCTACCACAGCCCAATTAAGATGTTTTCTTCTCCACAAAGGCTTCCTCATTGCCATGATCTGAGCTACCCTTCTCTGCCTTCAGCCCATTCCCAAATCCCTTAAACCTGCATCTACCACACCTCATGTTACTTGGAAGTTTTCCAGCCTCACTGGTCGGGAACACCCCATGGAAGGACCGCATATTTTCCTTTCTGTATCTGACCATAGCTGAGAGAACTCAGGATAAGCTGGTTGACCTGAACAAACCTACCTTCCTCCTTGGCATCTACACCAGATGCTTTCTTCATCTCCCACAACTCTCCACTTCCTTACTCATCAGAATCCTGGCTTGCCCCAAATGTGCACATTTTCTTTATTTGCAAAGTGGGCACACAGCAAAGATGTGTCCCACAGTAAGTAAAACTAATGTTAGAAAAAAATTCTACATTGTAAAAGAAAAGCTAGCATGATTATTTCCCATTATAGAAGACTGTTAGCTTAGGTTTCTTTAACCAAAAAATGCCAAGCATATTCTCAAAAGAGTACATGCATGATAGGAGGTCATCTTCAAACACTCATAGTGATCATCTCACAATCTTTTTACTTTCTTCTTTATATTTCTATGTATTATTTGAATCTTATATAATGAACATATATAAAAATTAGAAAACAGAAATCTAATTTCATTGTGTAGAAAACAAGAAAAATAATAGGCTTCTAAGTAATTTTTAAAAAATCTCTACACAGAATTTTAACAAAATAAATGGTCACACATATACACAGAGTCAAATAACTAGGCTCACTAACAAAAAAATGCACATTTGTAAGACTCTATGCCCAAATGCATTTTCAAACATTCAATTCCAAGCCTTTGCTTCTCCTCTATAGCTCTCTGAGTCAGAATGTTTTAGAAAACTGTTTGCCATCAAGGCAGCACTGTGACATCAAGGTTGTAGACCATGTACCATGGAGCAAGCTCACAGTCAAGGGTTCTCAACTCCAGATCCATACAGCAAACTAACTCTTGATGAATCAACTGAACTCTCTGAAACTGCACTGTTTCAACTAAAATAAGACAATCTCTGTACCATCTGCTTCACAGGTTTCCAGTACAAAGAAAAAGGTGACAACAACACATGTACACTTGCTTTAGAAAGTAGAAGACTAAAATCACCATGCTCATAACTGGTAGAAGGGTTCGGTTCAAAAACAATATTCTAGTAGTGGCCAGTCCCTCATACCTTAGGGAACCCACCCCATGCCCCTTGTGTGTGGGGTTCATCTCACTTTAGGGCTTCCCTACAAAGGCCATTCTCTGTCCTCATTAGTCCAGATAGATTCCCAGGTACCTGAGCCTTTTCCCATCCCTGCCTCAAATGTCAACCCCTAGGACAGCATGAGTGCTCACACTGATGAGCAATAATCATCAGCTGAAAGGAAGCCCTGAAAAAACATATTCTTCCCTAAGCACATGGATATTTTCATTTGTCGTTTTACATATTTATGGAGGAGCATGTCAAAAACTAATTTGAAAAAGCATTTGGTTGCCTAACCTAGATAATCCTTTCCTTGCTAAGTTTTAGGGCGGAAAGAGCTATGCAACCTATAGGCTTACTTCTTCCAACAAAAAAGCAAAATCACTTTCACCTAGATAAAATACCACTATGTCCTTGCCAGGAGGGAGGGAAATTGTCTAATCTCTGCATGTCTTCTGAATCATGGCTCATCAAGTATCTTGGATTTAATCTCATGACATGTGAATAAGAATGCTCAGGCCAGAACTAGAGACCCCCATGCCAGCCCTGCTGAGCCTACTGGACTGGGTTCCATTTTTTTCAGTAGTGAAGAGGGTGAGGGAGAGTGTCTATGAATGACAAAGTGAACACCATCTTTAAGATACTCTCCGGGACCTACCAGCAAATATTCCATCAAAAGAAGATGAGATTTCTAATTCTGCCCTTTTTGTAAAAACAAAACTCTGATATGCCTTCTCTAAACAATAGTATCTTTGGGAAAGAAAGGTTTGTTACATACACCTAGTAACAAAAGGAATGAAAGGGGTTTTTTTTTGTTTTGGGGGGGGGGGGTTGGTATCGGGGAAGGAATGAAAGGTTATCGAGGTTCATTACTATCATAAAATCAGTATAGAAGAGCTATTAAGAGCTTGGCCTTAAAGCCTAAAACACTTGGGTCCCTTTCCCAGCTTGACCAGTTATGTACCATGTGGACATAGACTAGTTGCTTATCCTCTCATTGTGTCTATCATCCTGTCTATAAAATGAAGCTGAAAAGCCTGATTCAATCATAGTTGTGATGGTGAGAGGAGCTCATGAATGCGGAGTACAGAACAGACAGTCTGGTTCATACTGAGCTCTCAAAACACTAGCTGCTACAACATCGTGTGTTCAAGCATCAGTGATCACAAACATCCAACACTTGGTCCATTCAAAGTCCTGTCCCGGGTATGGATATCCAAGGCTCTCTTTAGGAAGAATGTTGAGAGATCTGAGAGCCTGTCAAGTATAAGAGTGAGTTTGAACATATTCAAGAAACACTTATCATCATCATGACTTTTCTGAAGCAGATTGTGTCACATAAGCATTAATGCTTTTGCTTTTTTCGTTGTTGCTATTTTTGTTTTGTGGTACTTGAGACTGAACCCAGGGCTACATCCCTTGCCATTTTTAATTTTTTTTTTCTACTTTGAAACAGATTTTCCTTAAATCACTAAGTTTCCCTGTCTAGGATCAAACCTGTAATCCTCCTGCCTCAGGCTCCCAGAGTGCTGAGATTACAGGCATGTACCACATCTGACTAAGCATTAACCTTTAACCATACAAATAATTCAAATTAACAGGTTTAAAAAGCAGATTCAAACAAAGAAGTGTCATTGTGCCTGGGAATTGTTAGCTGGCTGCCCTTGTGCTTAAATTGGTTGTTTCTTAGGAACTGACCCACACAGTACCGTTGAATGACAAGTTGAAAATTACAGGGTCTCACTTCCATTACTTAATTCCAAAGTTTATGGGCCACACCATAGCTAAATGAGAGTCCTTGGCACCATCCGCTATAACTTTTTATGGAACTCTCATCCACTTCTCTGGTCCTTTGTTCTCAGACATTCTCCCTTCTTCCCCAAACATGGAGTCCTGTCAGCTGGTCTTGTTGACCACCATACAGAACAGCCTGTACCTCATAAGGTAAGAATGTTCTACATTATTGCTACAAGCTGTTAAACTTTAAAGCACAGAATAGCATTTATGTTTCCAGCTTTGGAAAAAGATAAAGCACTGACTTCATTGCTGTTTGTTTCAGAATTTACTCACATTACAGCTCTGAAAACATTTCACTGTTTTGGCCCACTTGGCTTCCTTGAGGGAGGAGCGTACACTTTAACAGCAGAACCACTGTGTTAATTTTCGGGTTAACCAAAGTACACTCTGGCTTTGGCAAAGTTCCCAACAGCTGGTGCTTTGGCCCCCAGATGAAGGGCCTTCACTGTATCAGTCTCCTCACCATCCGTGCAGTAATGGACCAATTTGGAAGGAGCCACTGGAGGGCTTTGTACTTAGTTGATAGTTAAAAGATTAGTAACAGAGAGTCAGGACCT